CAGGCAGACGGCTTAGGTGACTCCTCTGCTAAGCTGACAGATGACTGGTCCTCTCTGCCAGGGCAGGGACAGCAGTGAGGGTGGCTGTGTCCAGGGGAAGGGAAGCAGCTTCCTGAGCTGGGAAGCTCTGAGTGCCCTTCATCGCACCGGGCGCTTTGCTGACCATTACGGGCATCAGCACAGAGCTGGGAAGGTGCGATGGGCTGGTGCAGAGACCTGGTCTTGGGCCAGGTCCAGCTGACTCCAGCACTCACCTCTGTCCACCTCGCCTCAGGAAGTCCTGAGAAGGCAAAGAGCAGCCCTCACGCCTTGCATCCGAGCTGTCTGTCCCCCAGGACCAGCTCCATGGGCATACAACCCGCAGCACGTGGTCTGCTATTCCTCCGCCACCGTCTTGGGATTCTTGGCAACGCTTAAGCAAGGGCCCCACCCTACCACTTTGTACTGGCCCTGGCTTTGCCCCTCTTGTCCCTTGAGCAAGCCTATCCTGCCTGGTGGAGGCATTTGAAGAACGCACTCTGTCCCGCCCTTGACCCTGCTACCCAGCACTCTGGCCTGGAGTGCTTACTGCTTGGCCGTCTTCTCCTCACTGGCCACCGCACTAGCAAGCCGAGGGCCCTGACCTTGGCCCACCATCATGTCCACATCCCATGGGCCGACAGTGTCCCAGGTGTGTCCTGTAGGGGTGGGAGCTGGAGACAGCAGAGCACCAGGTTGGGCAGAGTATGCAGCTGACCTGCCTCCGGGGCCGAGAGGCAGCAGGTGCACAGGGAGCATGGGGGGGGGTTAGAAGAGGTGGGGTCCAGGCGTGTCTATCTGACCACTTAAGCTGGAAGCCACGATGGTTGGCCTCACCCTGGTGTTGTTGGCACTGTGGGCTGCGCCTGGACGGCCCCAGGACGTGTGTTAAGCAGTTCCTCTGCGCTCCCGGCTAGGCTGATTACGGGGAAGGACAGTCCTGACCTCTAGGAGGATCGGATGCTTAATTCATGATTAAATGGTTCAGCCGCAGCCTTGGCCTCCGCGCAGCAGCAGCTGTGCCCTCAGCGCCCTGGGGTGCTCGGAGCTGGGTGCCCGGGAGGCAGGCTTTTTGCTGAGAGGTCCTGAACTAGGTTGTAGTGCAGGGGTGAGCCTGGGGGTGCTGAGGGAAAAGAGGGCTGGAGAACCCCGGGATGGAGGGCCTCCCAGGTCAGGTTTAGGAGGAAGGTCGTCCAGGCTGGAGGCTGTGTTTTCCAGGTTACATCCATCCCAGCCATCACAGAGACCCCATTTGGAGGTAGTAGCAGGCTTGAGGTGACTTGGGGTGACAGTGACTAGGGCGGCTATGTGGGGACCGAGAAAAGGTCAAATTGGGAGAGATTTGTAGAGACATGATTTTACAGTTTTGAAACAGGTAAGGAGTTGTCCTCAGAGTAGTAAGAGCGTGTCATGCTTATAGGAGCGGCGTTAGCTCCCTTGGGGAGCAGTGGCTTGGCATGTCCTTGCTTTGGGGACACGTTTTTCAGGAAGTGCTGGAGCTGGTCATCCTGACCCACGCACTGCCCATGCTTGTGCTGGAGAAATGAAGCTCTGGGCCCAGGGCGGGCTTTCCTGGAGGTGCTGAGAAAGCTCCCGATGTAGGCAGAGTAATTCCAGTCCCTGGACTCGAGGGTCACCACATTGGGATATTTTTACATGGCTGGGGCACTGGGAGAACGCCTAAACCCAAAGTACAAATTTTCAGTTTAATTTTAACATTGCATTGCACTCACACCCGGGACTTGGCAGGGGAATGGGCCTCAAACTTTGTTCTGTTTTCTTTTTTAAGCAGAGCACGGCCTGGGTGTGAAAGGGCTATTCTCTGCACAGGGCAGGTGAGAGTCAGGAAGTGGGTTCGACTTCCAGCGGGAGTCCTGGACAGGGCGCGGGTGCCCAAGCCTACCCTGGAGCATGGGAAAGGTGGCAAGTGGCCTCTGGAGGCCACCAGGGGTGACGGTGGCTTCCACAGGTTGGCAGTGGGACTAGGGTTCTATTTTATTTCATCCTGTTCTTCCACTTTGCAGGCTGCTCACCTGCCACCTCCTGTGGGAACCATCACCCCTAGAGAGGACCAGTGGGCCTTTCCCCAGGGTTTGGGATTTTGGTGACATCCACAGCCTCGGGGCTGAGTCTCAGCCCCCCTCCTCGATTTCTCCCTGAACAGTGCTGAAACTCTCCTCGCCCTCAGGAAAGAAATGCAGACGCACTGGGGATCCCAGGAGCCCCACTGAGCTTCCCCAGCCCTTCAGAGCAGGGGACTCGGGGCACTCAGGGGCCTCAAGTTGGGGAAGAATGGGGTCGTAGGCCCTCTGGATCTTTGCTTGGTTACTGAGTAAGTGTAACCAGGGAGGGGACTCGAGTGGAGCTCACTTGACTGGGGGCTAGACCCAGGGGCTGAGAGGGGACAGTTGCAGCCAGGAGGGCTCATGGGATGGAGTGAGCCTGGAAGAATTTACTCTGGCTTGGGGATGTCGGAGAAGCCGCCAGGGGCCCTCCTTGGCCCTAGTGGTGCACACTGACCGCCCCAGGCCTGCAGACCGGCGCCCTGCGGTGACCATGCCCTGGGGTCTGGGTCAACTGGATCAGCAGCTGTGATGTGACTGCAGGTGGAGACAGTGCCTGGCCGTGCTCCAGGCAGATCTGGGGGTTACTTTTTCATCTTTCAGTTTACTAGGGAGGGCATTGTGCACTCGCCATAGGGAGACAGAGAAAGTGCGAAAGCACTCCCAGGGGATGTCCACACTGCAGTCTCTGGGGATATGGGGCATGCACACATACACCTGGTGTGTTTTCCAAGCCACCAGGGCCAAGATTCAAACCAAGCATTTAGCCATGTGGAATCCAGTCCCCTTACCCACCACACCACTGGCTGGCCCGTGCAATTGCTTTTAATGGTAAAGAGTAGTAGTAATCCTCGCTTGTCATCCCTGAGTGGACACCAGCGTGAGTGTGGCGCACTGGGGCCGGGACTGGCTGGACCCCAGCGGTAGGCACCTGGACTAGCCGCAGGTCTGCAGTCTCCCAGGGTGGGCGGAGTCTGCTCACACCCGTCTCCCTTTGGTGGAGCTTCTGGGATTCCCAGGGCCTTCCAAGGAAGTCAGTTGCCTAGAGAAGTGTGGGCCTCGTGACCCGTGTGTACGTTACAGGGGTGGCTCCCTCCCCGCCACAGGCCTGCCTTCCCTGCTCCCTCCTGCCCTGGGGCAGAAGGCCTCCCTGGATTTCTTCCCAGGCACTCTTGCCAGTGACGTGGAGAGGGGGCTCGACCCAGACATCTGGCCAGGCCCCTCTCAGCGATGAGAGAGTGGGGAAGGACCAACCTTGCTCCTCCCAGATCCAGAGGAAAGGTGGACCTGGTGTCCTGTGTCTGCACAGAGATGAACTGGCTCTGGGCCAGGGCCACCAGTCTTGCTTTTCCCCTCTGGGATGCCACCAGATGAATCTACAACCTAGCACTGCCCTGGGTGGAGCCGCAGTGGGTGGAGCCTCTGCCTCTGCCTCTGCATCCCTGAGAGTGGAGGCCCAGCAGCTAACTGCAGGGAGCAGAGGAGAGAATGCACCCCAGGTCCCCTCTGCCCTGCAGGTGGGGGGAGAAGGGGCACTGCCAGCCTGGAGTGGCATTCACACACACGTACTTGTAGGCTATGAGCAGGCTGGGACCCCGTGTCTTGAGCCTAAGGGACACTCAGCACCAGGTATGTAGGAGGGGGCACCACAAGGTGGGCTCACCTCCAGCCCAGGAGACCAGGTCGCTGTAGGCAGGAGTGTGTCATGACAGCTGCCCTGGGGAGCCAGGCCCTGGTCCCCCTGGGTCACGCCACAGCTGAGAGGCGGCTGCTTCCTGGACCTGCGCTGGGGCCTGCCGTGTATCACTGTTGGTAATCTACCTTTCACAGCTCAGGAGAGGCGGCTTTTCTCAGTGCTTGCCACCCTCTTAGCAATTAAGGCTATAAGGGGCCAGCAGGCGGTGTAGTGGCTAAGGGTTAAGGCCCGGGATCTCACATGACCGACCCTGCAGTTCGAATCCTGAACCCAGTGGCTTGAAGAACATGCGAGGCACATGTGCATGTGTGCCCCATATCCCGAGAGAATAGAGACGGGAATGCGGTGTGGTGTCCCCCCAGGGGGTGCTTTCTCATTTTCCCTCTGTCTGTCTTTCTCTGGTGAGTGCATGTGAAGTAAGAGTTTAGTGCAGTGGGCAGGGGACAGACGGGGCCAGGGCCACAGAGGTTCCTCCAGAGACAACCAAGGGCTTCAAAGGTCTGCACTTCATCAAGGGCACTTCCCTACCCACCCACAGCTGTGCTCAGACTCCGAGAGCAGAGTGGGGCCATGCCATCAGACGCGGCAGCCACGTCTCGTTCCCCCACACTGGCCGAGTTCAAATGAGAGGCCACCTGCGCTGGCGGCTCTGTCTTGGACGAATGTCCACCCTTGGGTGTTGCTGGGCACCCAGCACTGTCTGGAGGTGGGACAGTCGGAGCCAGGCACTGCACAGGCTCTGATGGGGAAGGCAGGAGCAGGTGGGAGCAAGGGTGGCCACATCCTGAGGACCGTTGGCGAGCTGAGGCCAGGGGCCCACACGTGGCCCTGCAGGTGGGACCTAGGGAGCTGGCCCCTGGGGGTGGCCAGGAGGGGGCGTTGGGGTGGGGGCAGGTCAGAGTCCCCAGCGGCGTATTTTATTTTGTGATGGAGTTCTACGCCATTTTGACAGAATGGGCGGGTAAGACCGCCAGGCTCCTGGTGGCTGCAGGCCCTCTTGGGCCTCCCTTCTCCAGCTCTGTCTGGAATGGCTCCCTGGCGCTGCAGCTCTGCCTCCCCTCACCATCACTGAATGTGAAGACAGAAAGCCCAGTGGGACGGGTCCCATCCTGGGAGTGACCCCAAAGAGCTGGAAGGAGCCATGTACTGAATGCAATGGTGGCCAACCCCCCTGCCTCCACCCCGCCTGCCTACTCACTCACTCACTGCCCTTCCCCTTCCAGGTGAAAGAGCTTGTCCTGGACAACTGTCGGTCGAATGAAGGCAAAATCGAAGGCCTCACAGATGAATTTGAAGAACTGGAATTCTTAAGTACAATCAACGTAGGCCTCACCTCAGTCGCAAACTTACCAAAGTTAAACAAACTTAAGAAGGTAGGCCGCGTGGGGGGAGGCGGGCCGGGCAGGGGCGGCGGGGGTGTCCGTGAAGGGGAAGGTGGAGTCAGGCGTGTGCGCTGACATGCCAGGGCAGCTCCCGGGGACCACGACTCCCCTTCCTCGCCTGTCTTGGGAGAGCCAGGTGGCTCAGCAGAGGAGAACCTTCGTCTGCAAAGCTGTTTTCTTTTTTTGTCTCCTGCCTGGTTTAGCTTGAACTAAGCGATAACAGAATCTCAGGGGGCCTGGAAGTATTGGCAGAAAAGTGTCCGAACCTCACACATCTAAATCTAAGTGGCAACAAAATTAGAGACCTCAGCACAATAGAGCCCCTGGTAAGTCCTGGGGCCTCCCTCCTGGCGGCGGGAGTGGGGCGGGAGAGGAGGCACGGGGCGGGAATAGTGCCTCTGCGTTGGCGAAACGTCTCCTTTCTCCCTACTTCATCTCTCTGGCTGTCACCGTGTGCTATGACATCAAGTTGAGCTGTTATCTCGCCTGCATCCAGAGAGAGAAGCTGAGGTCCAGAGAAACTCAGTGGCGTGACCAAGGTCACGTGGCCGGAATGGGCAGTTGCTCAGGATGGCGTAGCCCTGGCCCCCGTTTCTGGCCTCTTGCTTGTCCCTGCTTTTGAACTTGCTGCTCCTCTTCGGGGCCCTGTCATTTGTCCCCGCCCAGAACACGGCACTGCCCCTTTTGGGGAGGGACGAGCTAGGAATTAAAGGTGCACTCGCATTTTGCCCTTGGTCGCTGACTCTGACGGAGCCTGGGCACAACTCGGGCTGTCTGCCTCCAGCGCTCGCCCTCGCAGAGCCAGACAGCCCTGGACTCCCGGACTGCCTCCCGGACGGCCGGTCACAGGCACCATGGCCGTTCCCACATTGGCCGGCCCCAGGCGCTCCGTATCCCTCAGCTATGAGGAAGTGAGCAGGGGGCCGTGCCGCTGATGAGACGTGAGCTCCTTGGAACAGAGAAGGTACCGCGTCCAAACACGCCTGTTATAACGTAGTCGCCACCCACTCGGCCTCTCGTAGTCAGGGGAAGAACGGGCGTGGTGACCCGCATGTCCTCGTCTGGCTGTGTGACACGCAGCTGCGACATGCCTGGTCCGGATTTGGGCTCGCAGGGCTTTGGTTGGAACCCTCGCTCTTGCCGGGTGCTCGGCCAGCTGAGGGCCAAGGGCAGAGCGGAGCCGGCGTCCCACTGCCCGCCCTGGCCTGGGCACAGCTCTCAGAATGCCCCGTAGAGCACATTTCAGGTCTTACGCTCATCTCCCGGAGAGTGAAAATGTACCCCTCCACCTGGGAGTCGGGCTTCATAATTTAATTAGGAAAAGAAAAATCTTTGAAGTTCTGTGTGTGTGTGTTCTGGGGTTGGGTGTGAAGTTCTGTGTGTCCTGGGGTTAGGTGTGAAGTTCTATGTGTGTGTCCTGGGGTTGGGTATAAAGTTCTGTGTGTGTGCGTGTGTGTCCTGGGGCTGGGTATGAAGTTCTCTGTGTGTGTGTGTCCCCTAGGGTTGGGTATGAAGTTCTGTGTGTGTGTGTGAGTGTGTGTGTGTGTCCTAGGGTTGGGTGTGAAATTCTCTGTGTGTGTGAGTATGTGTGTGAGTGTGTGTGTGTGTCCTAGGGTTGGGTATGAAATTCTGTGTGTGAGCGTGTGTCCTGGGGTTGGGTGTGAAGTTCTGTGTGTGTGTGAGTGTGTGTGTGTCCTAGGGTTGGGTGTGAAGTTCTGTGTGTGTGTGAGTGTGTGTGTGTCCTAGGGTTGGGTGTGAAGTTCTCTGTGTGTGTGTGTGTCCTGGGGTTGGGTGTGAAGTTCTGTGTGTGTATTTGTGTGTGTGTGTCCTAGGGTTGGGTATGAAGTTCTGTGTGTGTGTGTGTGTGTGTGTGTGTCTCCTAGGGTTGGGTATGAAGACCAAGCATATGATACCCTTGTAAAACATGATTTGGCCGCCATTAGAGGTCACACACGCGTTCCACGTCCCCCTGCCTGGATACACACACATTTACTCACTTCCCCCTGCCCACATCTCTCTCTCTCTCTCTCACACACACACACCTCCCCACTCCCCGGATCTTTCTCACACACACACCCCCTCACCACTTTCCCCTGTCCAGATCTCCCCACCCCCCCACTTTCCTCTGACCCTGACTGTCACTGTGGTAACGTATTCTCTCCTTTCTGAGCGGTAAACTGTTCTGGTCCGGGGGCCCTGGGCTGCGAGTACCCACACAGACCACCGGGCTGCCCTCCCTGGGCCCCTCTGTGCGTCCCCGTCATGAGGTCTCAGCACCCTGCTCCCGCCTGGCCCCAGGGCAGTGGCTTTCCTCCCCAGGAGGGCCTGGCACCTGGAAGGGGGCGGGTGTGTGGTAGAAAGCCCAGGTGTGGCCTGTATTGCTAGTTGTGAGCCTACGCTTGCAAAGTCTCAGTTTCTTTAATTTTATAGAGAGATTTTTGCTATAGAGCACATGTGCTCACCAGAGAGAGAGAGAAAGCGAGAAATCACCCCCTCAGGGGATGGCCACACCACAATCCCTTCTCCTTCATTCTCCTCTCAGGATCCTAGCATGATTTAAAGTCACCAGGTCCGGGACTCGAACCACGTTCGACCATGTGGGTATCCAGTGACATAACCATTATGCTGTCTGTGGGTCCCGATTTCCTCAGCCACCAAGCAGGGCTGACGTCGTCCACACTTCCTGCTGGGTGCTGTGGGCAGGGCCTGGGCCGATCCTCTGCTTTCCCAGCCCGTCGGAGGTGGGCTGCCTGATTAAATCCCGAGTCTGAGCCCGTGTCATCACCTGAGATGAACCGTAACCATGTCCACCTCCCAGGTTGCGAGGTCGGTTGGCAGTACAGGGCTGTGGCACCTGCCACCACCACCGTCACCACCCTGTGAGCCAGGACCCTGTGAGGCACCCGCTGTGACCCGGTACGAGCGTGACAACCTGGATGCAGCTTGCAGAGTCTCACGTCTAAGCTCCTACTTTCTAGATACAGGGCGGAGTGTCCGGGCAGGTGCCATGACCGAGCCGGGCCACTGCCCTTCTCATCACTAAGCCATGGTTGTCTGTGCCATCTCAGGGCCCCCTGCCTGCCTCCTGGGCCTGTGTCCTTCCCATTCACCCCACGCATCGCTCACTGCGGGCCTCATTTCCTGCTTGCAGAAAAAGTTAGAAAACCTCAAGAGCTTAGACCTTTTCAACTGCGAGGTGACCAACCTGAACGACTACCGAGAAAACGTGTTCAAGCTGCTGCCCCAGCTCACGTACCTCGACGGCTACGACCGGGACGACAAGGAGGCCCCCGACTCGGACGCCGAGGGCTACGTGGAGGGCCTGGACGACGACGAGGAGGACGAGGACGGTGGGTGGCTCCGGGCAGGGCCAGGGCTCGGAGCTCAGCCTAGGACTGGGGCCCCAGAGAACTCTGAGAGGTCTACCAGTGGCAGAGCTGCCCCCTGAGCTATCCCGTCAGATCTGGGGGTGTCTCTGTAGGTGAGCCCTAGACATCCCCCCTCCCTGGGGAAGGTGAGCGAATAGAGGAGGGGCGTGGCCTGTGGGGCCCTCTGGTGGCCGCATCCCATAGGGTCTCCGCAGTGCTTGGGGACCTGAGGACGTGGAGACCCTGCCCTGAAGACCCCAGGGCTGGGGAGCAGGGGTACATGGTGCTCTGGGGGTCAGAGCCCTGAGGGAGGAAAAGGAAAGAGGTGCAGACTTCTGACCCTGGTGCAGCGGAGTTGACACTCGTTGAGTGATTCACAGAAGAGTCCACGCTTGTGGCCTATTCAGACATCCTGCTTGCTTTGGTGGGAATCGGGGTGCGGCAAAGGGCCCCAGGGCTGGCAGTCCTGAGACAGAGGCTCTAGGCCAACCCTGAGCTGCTTCCCTGGGTGACTGAGTGAGCCCTCCTCTCCAGGCCTCAGCTTTCTCACCATCCACGTGAGGCGCTGGCCCGGAGGTGGACGAGCTGACCTTGCAGCGTTCTCGGCCCTGTAACTTAGTTCCTCCAACCTGGCCATGCCCCTAGTCTCCGCCTCCACAGGGAGCCCTCGCTGGCACAGAGCATGCTGGGAGGGTTGGTCCTGGCATAGCGATCGTTTTAGGGTGCTTATGTCCTGGGCCACTGGGCCACATCAGGGTGTGTCTTGCAAGGTCACGGCGCCCAAACACTTACAGCCTTGTTTGGGGCTCGGCAGCAGGAGGGTCCTGTGCTGCCAAGGAGGAGCCAGCTGACCAGTTGTCCCTGTCCCCCGTTTGCATGCACAGAGGAGGAGTATGACGAAGATGCTCAGGTAGTGGAGGACGAAGAGGACGAGGAGGACGAGGAGGAAGGTGAAGAGGAGGACGTGAGTGGAGAGGAGGAGGTAAGGAGGGGGCAGGGTGGGGCTCCCCAGTTGCCCTCCTGCCTCTGGGCTGGTCTGGCAGGAGGTCACCCCTTGGGCAGGGAGGTTCAGAGCTTTTTCTGGGCTGATTCTGGGGAGGCAGACTAGCCAGGGCAGCCTCTGGAGGGTTGGGGAAGGGTTCTGGAGGCAGGGACTACCTCGTCTGCTGGGGTAGGTCTGGCCTGCTATTCTAGGTGGAAATGAGCTTAGAGAAGCACAGAATGATCCCCATTTCCTGCCGTTCAGCATTCACATGTTAGTTACGACCCTCACTTAAACTGTCTGCTAGGGAAAACCTAGGCTGCCTGGAACGGACAGGTGGAGGTAAGAGGACTGGGTCCCAGATCTGAGAGTGACGAGGCCACCCGCCACCTGGTGGAACACAGGCCAGTTCACAGTGACACTGAGGGGTTAAGAGCAGAGTGTGAGGACGCGTCCGGCTCTGCCCCTCCCGGCTGCATGAGTTATCTGACCTTGAGTCCCTTTCTTCACTGGGTGAGAGGGCAAGATAACTTGTTATAGACGCTCCAGGCTGCAGGTGGTGTCTGATGAGGCTGCATGGGACCTGTCGTAGGGGTTCACACCCTCCAAGGCCGGGCGCCATGTGCTGGGGCTTCAGTTTGGATGTTCCGCATCTTTTTCTATGATTTATTCAAAACTCTAAGTCTACCTTGTTAATCACAAAAATTGGACCTGGAGAGGTTTGAAGTGATGCTGGCCTGGGCAGAGTGTCCTAGCCGTCCCTTCCTCCCCGAGATGCCACCCGCCGCCCTGGCTCCTGAGCTGCCCAGACACCTTCTCCCTGGGCCTGGGCTCCGAAGACTGAGTTTTAAAAAGATAAAGACTGGAACCAGCAGTTAGCATAATGGCTATGTTGCTGGACCCCCACGTAGTCAACCGTGGTTTGTGTCCCAGACCCGGTGTCTTAAAACTCACGCCGGGCGCGTGTGCGTGCGTGCCCAAGATCCCGAGAGGAGAATGGAGGAGAAGGGAGAAAGCACCCCCCTGGAGGATGATTTCTCGCTTTCTGTCTCTCTGTCTCTCTGTCTTTCTGGCGAGCGCACGCGCCCTATAGCAAAAACCTCTCCAAAAAAAAAGATAAAGACTTAGGAAGGCAGGTCCCCCAGGACAGGGCAGCCTGGCAGCCGGCCGCTGAGTTTTCATTGCGTGCTCGCCATGGCAGGGTGCAGGCTTCATTTTTGTCCGTAATCTCAGGGCCACCCACCTGCATGTTTCCCGCTTCCGGTACAGCGGGGCATGTACACCTGAAAAGCAATCGTAGCTACACACCTGCTGAGAGAACGATCTGGAAACGTTGTAAAAGTCTGTGTCCTTTGACCAAAGAAAGGCTGTCACCCATTTCTTCCCCACGGTGGGCTGCCGGATGCTTTAGCTGCAGGGGTGCAGGGGAAGAGGTACCACCAGCCGTAACTTTGGGAACAAAGCGAGTGCCTGTGTTGCAGATAAAGCCTGCTCCTTCATCACTGGGAAATGGGGTCCTCAAGGGGCCTGGCATCGATCGCCCCCTCCAGGCGGTCCAAGTTTGCAAGGTGGCAAAGGGACTGGGTGGCGTGAAGTTGGACTGGATGTGCTGAAACTGGGGGCTTCTCTTGAAGTAGAGCTAGAATGAGGACAGGTGGAAGGATGGCCTATTTTACAGGCAGGGAGTCTGCTTGGGGACCTGTTCTCCTCAGAGAGGAGAAGGCTGGAAAGTTGCCTGACTACAGAGACTTGAGGTCGGCAGTTCTTGCCCTGGGGGTGGAATCCACAGCCCACTGGAAGCACGGCATGTGATAGGGATCTGTCCTAAAGCTTTCTGCAGGTTCTCAAGTGGGTCCTTGATGCCGGACTCCCACATGGCCGACTAGTTCGGGTCCCAGATCTGGAAGATCGCTTTCTCTCTCTCTATCTCTGGTCAAATTTAAAAACATAATAGTTACACTGAACAAAGTTAATGATTCTTTAAAAAAAAAAAAAAACAGGTTGAGAATCTCTGCTTTGTACTCATCCCAAGGTGGCAGGCCTTGGGAAGGTTGCTCTGAGAGACTGGGGGTGAATTCTCCTCTTATGCTCAGTGTGGGGACAATGGCTTCCTTGGCTTGTCTGCAGACCAGGGGCATTTCTAACGTCTTGGCGTTTCTCCTAGGAGGATGAAGAAGGTTATAACGACGGGGAAGTAGACGATGAGGAAGATGAGGAAGATCTTGGGGGTATGGCAGCTTTTTCCCTCTCTGCCCGCGGGGACTGATGGTACACTGCTTAGGCTCTGAGGAGCCCAGCAATGAGTAGAACACGCCCAGCTGAGCCCCAGGCTCTGCAAAGCATCCTAGCCATGTGGTCCCTGGTTTCTCAGCAGGTGGGTCCAGGTAAAGAAATGGGCCCAGTGTCTAATCCAAACGCCTTTTCTTGCTCTTGCAGAAGAAGAAAGGGGTCAGAAGCGAAAACGAGAACCTGAAGACGAGGGAGAAGAAGATGACTAAGCGGAATAACCTATTTTGAAAAATTCCTATTGTGATTTGACTGTTTTTACCCGTATCCCCTCCCACCCCCCAAATCCTGCGTTGCGGGGTGGGGGGGAGAAGGGGGTGGAATAAAATACTATTTTTACTGCCACTCTTTTTATTTTTTCCCCCCTTTTTCTTTGTGTCTGGTTTTGTCCCTGAAGTACAACGGCCAATGGCCGAGTTACACACCAAGCGAGGTCCTTCCTGTCCGAGAGGGGGACTGGAGGTCTCTTCTATTTCCCGGCATTCCCCAAGGCTCCTAAGTGGTCGGCAGGCCCTGGCTGGCCTCAGTTTGGTTCCTCGAAGCCCAGGAGGGGCTGAGCACAGCCACGTCTTTAACGTGCTCTGGCTCACGGGCTTTTGTGTTTCGGGCCTGCTAGAGGCGTCCAACGCTCAGGTTTGTAAATGGCAACCTAACGTCGTGTTCAGCACTCTTTGGGGAGCGCTCCTGCCCCTAGTCCCCCTTCCCTCTTCACAGATGGTGGTGGGCTTCTCTCTGCAAAGAGGACTCTGGTGAGCCAGAGAGCTGAAAGCAGCAGGCTTATGGGTTGCAAGTAAAATGAATTTGGTATTTTCACTAAAAGAACAGGCAAACCCTCAAAACGTAACCTCTTTCAAAGAAAAAAACAAAACTGCCCTGTTCTGTCCTGTAAAATATTAGAACGCGTTGTTTTACAAACATGGCGAGAGAATTCTTCCACATGTCCTTCTGTGCTTAGAACATTTTTACAAACCTAAGTGCTGGAGACATTGCTGCATGTCGGCTGGGTTTTTTGTTTTGTTTTGTTTTTTTGGTTGGTTTTTTTTTTTTTTTTTTCATACACCTGAGCACGGAAAAACTAATGCAAAATTGTATTTTCTTACCTAGTGGAAATCTGAAATGACTGCAAATTCCTAGCGGATGTATAGGTTTGCTTTCATGTCCCTCTTCTGGATTGCTTTCGACGTGATGTGTTATTTCCTAACCCGTGTTTCATCTGTACAAAAACATCTGCACCAGTTTTAACCCTGCCCCTCAGAAGAGCCAAACTTTGAGTTTTATGTCTGTTTGTCATTGATAAATTTCAATAAATCTTTTTATACAATTTTTTGGGGGATGGCTTCTTTGAGTCCGGCATTGCAGGTAAATGATGGCCAGGTGGGAAACCTTGTTACCTGGCCAGACAGCTTCTCTTACAGGACGGGCATGTCGATCATCAGACAGGACACTTTGGGTCTCGGTGGTGTATCTGCATTAAAAGTGTGACTTAGAAAAAAAGAGATAGATAAAGGTGTAAAAAGTGACTAAAAACGTGAACAGTGGAACAGTCCCCAGAAAGTTGGACAGCCCTTAGAACCTTGTTTTGAGTATCTTTCATTGTTTTTGTTTTTCATATTGTAAAAAGAATGTGTGCTTGAAAACTCAGGAATGTATAAAACATTATTTCACAAACCCAGAGATTTACATATGGTGTTTTATTGTGTTACTTGTTTTTACCTAGCGTTCTTATGACCATTTCTCGCTCTCTCTGAATAGTTTTCAAAAACAGGGGTCTGACCACGGTTCGAGTCCTGGGACCCAGTGGCTTAAACTCACGCCAGGCGTGTGTGTGTTTGTGTGTGTGTGCGCGCATGCCCAAGATCCCGAGAGGAGAATGGAAGAAAAAGGATTGCAGCGTGGCCATCCCCCCTGGGGGGGTGATTTCTTGCTCTCTGTCTGTCTTTCTGGCGAGCGCACACGCCCTAAAAAAATGCAGGGGTCTGGAATGGCTCCACAGTACTTCATCCAGTCCGATCTGATTTACCGAATTCTAACCGAACGTTAGATGTTTGGGTCGTTTCCAGCTTACCACTGCAGTACGCGTTCCGGTATAAAAGTGCTTAGACTTTTTGTGGATTTCTTGGTGCAAACGCTTAGAAGTAGGGGCACTGGGGACCACCGGATGGCGTAATGATTATGTTGCAGGACTCCCATGTAGTCAACCGAGGTTCGTGTCCCAGACCCAGAGGCTTAAAACCCTTTACCAGGCACACGTGTATATGTGCCCAAGATTCCAAGAGGAGAAGGGATTGAGGTGTGGCCATCTCCCCCAGCGGTGATTTCCCACCTCCTGTCTGTCTCATCGGCAAGTGCATGCACCCTATAGCAAAAATTTCTCTTAAAAAATATAAAATCAAGGGACCAGCAGTTAGTGTAATGGCTATGTCGCTGGACTCCCATGTAATCGACCATGGTTTGTGTCCTGGACCCGGTGGCTTGAAACTCACACTGGGCGCGTGTGCATGCCTGCCCAAGATCCTGAGGAGAATGGAGAAGGGATTGTGGCGTGGCCCTCCCCCCCCTCCCGGGGGGGTGATTTCTCCACTTTCTGTCTCTGGCGAGCACATGCGACCTATAACAAAAAACTCTCAACAAAAAAAAAAAAATCCCGAGGAGAATGGAGAAGGGATTGCGGCGTGGCCCTCCCCCTTGGGGGGTGATTTCTCACTTTCTGTCTCTCTGTCTCTCTGGCTGGCGAGTGCACGTGCCCTATGGCAAAAACCTCCAAAAAATGAAAAATAAATAAGTAAATAAATCAAGTCATTGGGCCAAAATAGCTTTTCTATGTGTTGCGTAGGAGGTTCCGTTACATTTTCTAGAAGGGCAGTGCTGGTTTGCTCTGGCTGGTTAGAGGGTCACACACGTTCTCACCCTTACATTCTTGGACACCATGGTGAGCCTGAGGTCCTACATGTCTTACAGTGTGTGATTCCAGCAGGTGGCAGGCTACCGGGGGCCTGTGGCCTGTGGCCACCACACTGCCTAAGCAGTACCCTGGCATCAGCTGCCCCTGGGGCAAGCTGCCCTGGCTGCAAGCAAAGAGTGGCAGGTGACCGCAGGCCAGGAACTGTGCTGGGCACTGAGGCTTTGATACGAACACGGCTGCTGCGCTGGGAGCTCGCAGCAACGGAAGGGGGTGAAATCAAGGCCTCTCCTAGCCTCCCATGTAGCTGACCGCGGTTCGAGTCCCAGACCTGGTGGCTTAAACTCACACCGCACACACACGTGCCCGCTCAAGATCCCAAGAGAATGGAGCAAAAGGGATTGTGGCGTGGCCATCCCCCCGAGGGGTGATTTCTCGCTTTATGTCTCTGGCAAGTGCCCTATAGCAAAAAACTCTCAAAAAGAGAGCTCTGAGTTTGTTCTTTCTCTTGTTAACCTTTGTTACAGGAGTATCAGCCATGTTCCTTAGGACAGCAAGGAGAACAGAGCCCTTCCCACCCCTCTGCCGCTTTCTGGAAGATGTGCTTGATTTCTCGCTCCCATACAAATGGCCTCCCCTCAACTGCAGTGCAAGACGTGGTGTGGAAGTGTAGGAATGGCATCCCGGCTCGGGCATGGCCCTGCCAGTCTTGCTGTGTAACTGGGCACAGTACTTACCCTCTCTGGGCTTCGGTATAGGGTAGCACTGTGTGGATTCAGAGGGCTCTTCCCTCTCAAGGTTCATCCTATTGCAGGAAACCAGACAAGACCCAGGATGGAGAGCAGCACTCGGAGAGATTAGGAGAACTGCTTCTTATGTCGGCAGGCACGGGGAGTTAGCACTCTTAATCTCCGGTCTTTTATGGGGGAATTGGGGAAGGAGAGGTCTCAGGATGGGGAATGGGCTCAGAACCCCCACTACACAGCGTCAGAGGGAGGAGACAGAGAAGCCGGAAGTCTAATCTATTCAAGGTACTAATCTGTTCAAGGTTTTCTGGTTAAGCTGTAGCTCTGGGGAGGGGCAGTAAGTTTGCTGGAGGGCAGAAACCTTAGCTATCAGCCCTGAGTTATTCATGAATTCGGGGTCGCTCCACATCACTGTGGCACTTGCTAGCACTCTTGAGTGATGAGGCCTCCCCTGTGGGGTCAGGGGTGAGGAGTTACTCCACCCCAGCTGACTGGAGTCAGATCCTGGGATCAGGAGGTGGGACACACCTGGCTGTTCCTGATGGCGCCCTTCCTAGGGCTGGGTGACCTTGGACAGGTCCCGCTCTAAGCCACCTACTTAACAAGGTTAATGGCCTCTGAGGGAGGCTGAGGTCAATGAGGAGCTGCAGGGAGCTCAGAGGAGGTCAGCTCTTGCCCGTCTCTGGCCCAGCTCCCTTTCCCCTGCCATTCCTGGCTACACTGGATGAAATGGAAACCACTCAGCAGACCCGGGCTTCATGCCGGTCCTCTCTTCTGACTTGTTTTCTATAAAATGGACACTTTTTAATTGCCGATGTCTGTGTGCACTAGCCGGAGACAGGGAGAGAGCACCTCTGGGTGGGGCATGGTCATGCCGCTGTCCCTTCTCCGTTCTAACATATTCCAGGGCCTGGGGCGTACACGCACGTGTGCCCGTCACATATTTTTAAAAGGTTTTTGCCATAGGATGTGTGCGTCTGCTGGAGAGAGACAGAGGAAAAATGAAAAGTCACCCCCCCCGGGGTGTGGGGGATGGCTATGCCTCAATCCCTTCTCCCTTCTCCTCTTGGGATTCTGGGCATGCATGCACATACACACCTGGATGATTTTCAAGCCATCCCGTCTGGGACTCAGACTGCAGTCAGCCATGTGGGAGTTCAGTGCCATAAACACTGCGTCGCCTGCTAACCCCAACCTATTATGTTTTTCAAGCCACCAGGGCCAGTATTTGAACCATGTGTGGTCTGACTCCCCTAACCATCAGGTCACAGGGCCACCCCGTAATATGATCTTTCTGAAGGGTCGTGTGAATACCTGGCATGATCGCCCCAGAAAGTGATCTAACTCTGAGGCTGCTAGTGTATCCCACTGTTCATGGTCCAGTCTGCCTTACATCTTATAGCATGTATGAGGCAGAATTGTGTACCATGAAAAACAATGGGTCCCCCTAATCCCTGCACCCAAATAAACTCATATGTTTAATTCCACATTCCCACACACTTTTCGAAGTCTCTGCTATCTCTGTGTTAGTTGACTGACCTATGAAAGTCTGCAGAGAGGGACTGACCATGAAAGTCTGCAGAGAGGGCCATCCCCCAAGGGATGGCCATGCCTCAATCCCTTCTCCTCCATTCTCCTCTC